CTCGAAATTCTACGTTGGCCTCAACCAGCAAAGAAGATAGGCAAGATTACGCTAATACATGACCTGGATAGAGAATAAGGTCCATAAGGCATCGGATACAATGTTAAGAGTATATGAGATCAAAACTTCCAGCTGATAATTGCTTAAACTAATAACGAGAAGCCAAAATTTAATCCTACAAAGTTTATCAAACATTAATCCACAACTAGATAACTTTATAGCAACTAGATCACTGTTAGTGCAAGACATTTCATGTGCAAAATAGCACAAATATAATCGGAAGTATGACGACCAAAATGTTGTGGCCACTATTTTTTGTGCGTTCTCCTTTCGTTATATAGAAGTAGTTTGACCTCGTTTTCGCAACTTGGTCGTGTTCTCAGAGAGACCTAGACCATTCCCATAATAAAAACATACCAAGTACATGGTCAGACACTGAAAATTATCATGACTATCATGGCAGAAGACTCTGGGAATTGAGTGTTCACCTAGCTCCAAGTTGCAACGATGAGATCAGATACCTTCAAACACAAATGTATACATGATTAGTGTTCCCCTTATTTCGCTCATAACAATGCTTTTCTAATGGTATACCATTTTGTCTTCATTATCGAGCTCATTTCCATTACGAGTGAAGGCGTTTGATAAAATTCTTCGAAGACCGATCCCATCAGAAGACGATGGCAGATTCCTTCGTGCTAGCTGTCACATTTGGCTTTATTAGAACCTTCTGAATGACCCTATCCCTTTCATTTCACTTAAAGAGTGCTAAGCTTCCCTCTTTAAAATGACGGAACTCATCAGAGAAGGTTATTATTCATCACCATGTCTTTTGATTTTGATGGTCTGCCTAATTTTGCGTTTAGTTGCTCGTGCTACATTTTCCCCGACATGACTAGTTTGACGCCCACTCTATTTTACGTCTAGTTTTACACTATTTGATCGTTTAACCTAACAGTATCTAAAGACAGTTTGGCTTTCGGCTACACGGTACAACCATGTGACGATTGCACAACAGAAATTCCTCGTCTTCTGGCTCGAACCACCTTCCAGGCTTTTTGACTTGAAAGGAAAATGTGCTTAACGATTATATGCAAAAGATTCCTTGAAATCGAGCTTTCCCTTCTTCTTATTTAAAAATATATTTGAAGACCAACTTGATTCTGATAAATCTATTGAGATTCCACTCAACGATTCTACATATGCGAGGTCACATTGCAGACTCCATGATATTCTATGAAAGCATGAGATCCATTCTTATCATTGGGAAAATTCAAATTTATATCCTTCATCATCTTAAAGCAGTGTGCCCGGGAGCAGCACAAGCCCGAATATGATTCAAAATTAGACGATCGAGAGCAAGAAGTTAACCTCACTCATTTGCAAGCCTGTTGAGTAAGGTTGAAGTAGCCAACAAAATCATGCGATGTCTCATTAAGATCGTGCTGTAGCCGGCCACCTATTCTCTTGGTTTAGTATATTTTTCTCTATTTCGTAAATTATGAAACCTTGCTCTAATGATGTATGTCACAGAGAAAAATTTCATGCTTCACGATATAGAGCAATAATATATCAAACCGCGTACAGACGAAAGCTAAGCACAGTTTCACCGGGGTCGCATGACAGTGAGCCAAGAACTTCTTGGCACAATTCAGCAGTCTTCCCTACGCGACAATCCTCCTTCGGCTTTCGGTGAGATCACATCACGAATTTCTTTTTACCATCTTTCCCTTAGAAATGGAAAGTCAAATTACATTATTATTATTATTATTGTCATCAGTAGTATACGTTTTGGTATTATTATACACTTTTACCTTTCACTGATTATCTTCTTCAGGCCCCTCATCATTCAATAGAAGGTCGACTGGAGTTAGACCCCCAGAGGATGCGTCGATCACGCCAACTACGCTAGACGAGCCCGTAAAGCAGTCGTTGTTGCCTCCGTTAGACAGTCTACTTGCTTATGTACAATATCAACTCTCAGGGCTAGACCCTTCACAGACTCTGTTAGAAGGGGCCATCTTAAGAGCTCTTTCTGGAAACGTCCCTCTGCCACCGTCTGCTTCCCTATCCTCTGCCCTCACTGCGTGTACACCTTCTCCTAGTTACCCATTCCCTCCGGCGCCTCTGCCACCAGGTTCGTCCCCACCCGACCATCGTCTGATGAGCAGGCCAGCCTGCTACGCTAACCAAGTCTGTAGCCCTATCGAGGCATGTGGTCAAGTGTTCAGGGCAGGCCTGCGCTCGAACTCAGGGCCTGCGTCGTTCGGAGTGATCGAGTCCTTTTCTCTGCCCTCACTGGTTGGCATAGGTGGTGCAGCCGAGACGGACAAACCATTCTACAGAATGAAGGGCTTTGGATGCGAGAAGATTCCTCTTCTGACGGAGCCGGAGAATGGTGAAACAGTCGATGGTAGCCACAACTTAGAGGCAGGCTGGAGCAAGGCGATGATGCCCTGGGCGTCGCAAGCCAGTCTGCTTTGGTCAGCGTTGTGTGATGAGCCCACCGGTGGGAACCAGATGTGGCGTGAGGCTCTGCTGGCCCCAGGCATTCCAAAGGGTATGCCGTCAAAATTGGCCTTACAACCTGCAAACAGGCTTTTGGCCGGTTGCCAGTGTCCAGGACAAGAGGCCGTCGGATCGGAACTGAAGAATTTTCTCCGTCCTAAAGAGACTCCACCCGGGTCTAGCCTCCCACATCAGCTTCCGTTACCATTATCAATGTCACTTGCACATCCATTGGCCTATATAACTCCAGCTTTACCAGCCTCCTCCCCATCGGCTCCTTGTACTTCGCCATCCGCCGCGGCAGCCCTCCTCCTCAACGTCATGGCAACTGGGGTTACGGGAATTGGGCCCTCAGCCATGACAACACCAATGAGTTCGCTCCCTCTCGCACCCACAGACCCGACAATTCCCTGTGCCTCTTCCATTACAACTGCCAGAGTTTCGTGCCTACCTCCCCTCCTGTCCGAACAATCGCTTACGAAACTCGAGCAAAGGACATTGTTGGTCCCCAGACATGACATAGAATTGGCACCAGAAGTCACAACAAATCCAGAACGAGGATATGGTTTTGGTCAGGGCTAGTAAACGTGTGAAAATAATCAAATTAGGCCAGTCACCAGCTTCCATCTTTTGCATCAAGAAATAAGACACTACTTGCGTCACTCGAGCAAGAGAGTCTAATAAAAGAGTGTCGTTGCTGTGGAGAATATGAAAAGTGATGTACGCTAGCAAGAGTGACTGCATACACGAAGGAATCTGGATCTTCAAATATCTGCTTTGCATGAAGTGGCTGAGATTAAATATCTTTTGTATTAACTCTTCTCCATGAACAGTTATCATTAATTTATTCTATTTGAGTCAACTTTTGTTGGAGACCATACCTATAACATATTTATGATAAGGGATAGGACAAAAAATTCCAGTATTTTGGTCAAACTTGGCTGCCATTCTAGGTTGAAAAGAAAGAAGTATCCTATCTTGAGAATCTGTATCCCAGATCCGAGACATCAAGAATGAGGTGGAGGCAGTAAAGATGTATTTGGAGAATTATAAGCAGAGAAATTCCTATCATCAATGGAGAATAAATCAGCTGAAGCTCAGTCTGATACAAAATGGAATACGAATAATTGCAACCAGGGAGACGGCAACTTCCAAGTCCTAACTAAGAAGAGCCAACATACCATCACTGAAGTAGACAAAATAAAAAATCGGATGGGAGATATGTTT